CAACTTTTCCTATCATAAGTTAAAGGTTTTTAAAATCAACAAACAAACTTAGTTACCATAAGTTACTAATTTGTAGGATAATTTTATTTAATGCTTTTAGTATGTATTTAGCGCTCAAAATATACAATTTAGAATAATCTTATATTTGTACTTAATATATTTTAGTACAAAATACAGCAGCTCTTAAAATGTCAACGAAAATTAAAAAAAAAACTTTAGTAACTAAAATGAACTTTAAAACAATCTAAACGTCTTTTATGTTTTATTTTAATTGGTACAAAATGCAGCATATTATGGCAACACACATCTTAAAATACATCTTACACGAAAAGACTTTTAATGAAATGTATATTAAAATATTTTTTAGTGACGTTATTTCTACTTAAATATGTTTGTTTTTGTTTGGATAATTATTTGTAGTAGTCATAAATCTCGAAGGGATATAAAATATATATAAGGGATAATAAATATATAAGTTTTCGAATCTATATGTTTATAAAATACATGTTCCTTAAAGAGATCTGTATATTTTTTATTCAAATGTGATACAAATCTATGACATTAATGTATTAAAAAATATATAAAAATATTTTTTTTTTGGATAAATGTTAAATTTGTTAGAAATTTTATATTTAGTTCTGGCAACATTCACTATGTGTCAAATTTAAAAAGTATTGGCAACATTTAATTCGACATTTTATAAGGTATTTGTAATTTTAATTAATTTAATTTATAAGAATAATCATGTATCACTTTTTATCAAATAAATATGTTTTTACGATGTTACTATCACAATCGATAGAAAGCTTTCAGGCTTTATGTGCGTTTCTTTTCACGTATAAATTTATAAAATGCACAAAAATATTCTTGTTTCCTATGAATTCTATTAGTTACCAAAAGCATGTATGAATCGTCAAATGTTTGTTCGCTTATGTGGGTTTGGGATTATCATTGCATGTACAGTTGTTTTCATATATCTTGGTGGCTCGAAACATCTTTCGAATCGCAGCGCAGAGGGCCTAACAAAATTTGTATTAAAATTTTAGCAGCAAATACCGAACGTAAAGTACACCAACAATTTCTCATATGAATTTAGACATTCCGTCGATGACTTTACGAAGACGCGAGTCGCAAACATGTGTTACAAGTAGCAGGGTTTAAATGGATGTGGGGGAGCACTGCGCAGCGCAGAGATATCTTTGAGCCACCAAGATATTTGAAATGACGTATACTGTTCAGTATTAGATACATGTAGCCTTTACGACATTGTGTTCTGTAATCAATTTATTTGTAGTTGACAGAAATATTAGGGAAAATTGTGTCTGCCATGATTCTGGGTAAGTTTAGCCTTGAACATTTAAGCGAATAAGTTTCGAATTTTTATTTAAAATAATTGTTATTTTCTTTACTGACTTTCTTCAGGTTTTTTTTATGCTTTCTTCATGTATTTGTAGGGGCCTAACTTTATCCTATGTATTTGGTTCTTTGTCAAGAAATTGGGACTATCAATTGACATTGAACTTTATGCTGTTTACTATAAATGCCTTTTTCGTGTAATTAACCATTTCTATGTACCATAATCACTGTGATTGTAATTTGTGTATGTCCTATTTTATTTTTTTAAATATTGCAACTTTTTTTATCTGTAGTATTTTGTAGGTTCTCTTTTGCACGTTTGAAAGCTTTTGACGATTGTGATATTTGTTTTATTTCTCCTGCCTATAGCTTCCCCTCAGTGTTGCAAACTTTTAATAGACTAGAGCTGCTTTATATGGCAACATTATTCAGGTAAGACTTATAGTATTTTAAAATATATTGCTTGGTATATAATAATTTAATAATGCCTACACTAAAACATATAAAATTATTTCATACATGCTTTTGGTATTTGTAACAAAACTAAGGAAATTTATTTTAAAATGTAACAAGGGTAATAGATTTAAACGTAATATTTATTTGGTAATGTTGGTAGATTAAGCTAAATGGGTTTGTATGTTACGAAATAAATGTATGTATTGTTTGTATGAAAGATGTAAAATTTCCAGTAGCCGATAATTTTGGATGGCGCGAAGATTCATCAGGAAGCGAAGAACATGACGCACCTCATTATCCTTTAGATCTGAGACTCGCTGAGGCGAGGTACGTTTTATAAAACTCACTAATTCTATTTAATTTTTAAAATATAAATTAATTGTCATACAAATTTGTTATAAAATATTTTAGGTATTATTATATTAGTATCCTTCGAGTCGGATAAAATCAGACACTAAATGCAAAATAAATATGAATTTAGGATTATCAAATTTCTTGTTATATCAATGATTGTAACAGAGTTTGCTTGTAGATAAGTCATTTTTGGTCGTGAAATAATACTAGAGTAACGCTTCTTGTTATAGAGATTGATATTTAATTTCAGGTTGCAATTAGAAGAGCGTCTAGCTCAAGAGGCTCGGGAGAGAAGGCCGGAGGAGAAGCGCGAGGAGGACAGGAGGTTCGAGAGGTCGCGCGGCTCTCACGGCGACGTCAGGAAGAGTCCACCAGAGGACAAGCGCAAGGATCCCGTGCAGTTCATACTGGGCGGTGACAAGTGAGTAGTCAAATTTTATAATAATATAATTCATTGGTCCACAGTCAATGCGTTTTTCTACTCATTAATATTTTAATAGCTTTGTAATTACTAATGAAGACATGTTTATTTTTTCCACAGCGTTAATTGGTCCGGTGACGACTTAACGCGGGCGATTCATTCCCAATCGCAGCCGCAGTTGCGCGCGTCAATGCGCAGTATAGGTGCCCCCCTCCCCCCGCCGCGCAGGCCCCTCTCCTCCGGACAGATCGTCCGCTCCCGCAGCACAGACATAGTCCCCAATCCAGACGATCCCAGACCTCCGCCCAGGAATCCTTTTACTAAACAAAAACCACTCCCCGAAAATAATCTGGATTCGGCGACTCAGTCTAGTAATACTCCCCCAGAAGAGGAGTCCACGGATTCCTCTTTGATGGACGATGAGGGACTTCCTAAGCCGAGAAAGAGACGCATCCATCTTCCTTTCGGGAAGAAGAGCAAGACTCCGGCGTGACAGGAGCGGAGTGTTCCAGATGTATGCCCCTGTCACGTGCAAAGTTCACACGCAAACGTTTACTACATCGGATATCGGGTAGGGATGTTCGGTGAATATCGATATTAGAGTTACATCGATGTCGACGATCGATATATTTAAAACGAATTTGTGAAAAAATCAATTAATCGAATTATATCTTTAAATATTTTAGAGCAAAAAGTTTTATTTAAAGAAATTCTACGAGATTATTGTTATTTATATACCAGAATTAAATTTGTCGACATCGATGTCCTTGTCAATATTTTTACAATAACGGGCATCCCTAATATCGAAACATGTTATAGGAAATTATGAATTATGTCATTTTATTTATTGACTGTATATAATATGTAAGTAGCTCAAAGTTTTCCTTCAGCCGCTGTTATCTGATATTATTTTTTCGCACGTTTGTTTTTGCACACCCTGTATTTGATTACGCATAATTTAAGTTTTTTTTTTATTAGTACTTAAAAATTTTATGCAATTAATTAAATCGATTGATTGTACAATATTTTTGAAGCAATCTCAATGAATGTATGTTTATTATATAGTTTTTTTTTTAATTTATTTGGAGTTTTACTGATTTTTAGATTCCAAATTTTCATTTACATTTGCCGATGATATTTGAATGAGAAAATGCTTTATTATATCTTTCGTGGTGGTTTGCTTTATGACAGTTTTATGAAATGTATGAAATAAATATTAATTACTTAAAATCTTCCTAGAATCTTCCAAATCATGTTTAGTAAAGCGATGTATCGACCGTATGGTTTTACAGTCGGACCTTCCTTTCATAATTCGATTAATCTATATGACTTGCCATTTTATGTTTGCAATTCTGTTTTTAGTAAATTTTTTATGTACAATCTTTTACATTTTAAATAGAAATAATTAAAATAAATAATTCTTGTATCACAATATTGAAAGTTAAAAAGACAAATATATTTGGTTGTTATATATATATTTTTTATTGTAACAGTATTTAGTTTTTTCCTTATGTAATTTATTCATGTACATAACATATATTCTTTTTATTTAAGTCACAATCTTAGCAGCAAAGTTCTCCCAAGGAAGTGCTTTTAGTGAAATATTAAATCTTAGTATTTTTTTAATAGAAATGGGTTACTTTTCCATGAAAGTTTACATGTACATGAAGATATTTGATAATTCATAAAATTTAAGCAATGTAAGAGTGGTTATTTATATTGTGAATAATGTTTATTTGTAATATTTAACACGTTTCATGCCACTAAGATTTTTAAAATACCTTGATATTTTATACTGGACTCGCCTCAGCAAGTGCCGGCATTGAACGTGTTAAATTTTCTGCCAAACGTATTGAAATGGTTGTGTTTATCATTCGAATGTTAGGATAATTTATTTGATCGACGAAATAATGTCCATTACAAAACACCGTATCGCATCATTCCCTATTTTCGTGTATTTATGATAGCGATATAGATTGCCCTTTAGTTGTGTGTTAGAATAATTTTAAGACAATTTGGTGCTAAATGATCGTCAACAGACTGAAAACACGTAGTGAAACCACTAAATGCTAAGTTCCTTGCAGTTTCATATTTCCAGGCCTGAGTATTAAATTGGACAATACACTATTAAACTTTATTACGAATATTGTGGCTTTGATACTCCCAAGTTTATGAGGGTTTTGGATTACGTATTTTTGTGTAGACTAAACCGCGGATTTTCCTTGCAAAAACACTGAAAAACATTGTAAACTCTTGTTCTTCTGAACAAAACTGCGATAATAATTTAATTAACTGCTACAATGAACGCCAAAATGGCGAAAATCTAATAGGCACAAAATACCACGGCTTATATCCTGTCCACTGGAATGAGTCAGTTGGCTGCAGTCGTTTGGTTTGAATAAGCGTATTCTTATGCAAGAATTGAGTAAAACAATGTCTTACAGCCTGTAGCCTCATTTTTGGTCTAGAAAAAGAAATCACAAATCGTATTACTACTTAAGTTGGCGTACTTAAAACAAACAGTACAATGGGATGTCCATTTTGTTATAGAATTTATAAACAGTTACGAGATGGACCGATTTTATTGAGACATATTTTTCACGATGTGTATATTTTTTTAGAGTTTAGATCTGACCGCTGTGTTATAAAAAGACAAGTCGTGATAATGTTACTTTGAAATGTTAATAAATTGGTCCCAAAATATATTTTGTATTAATCTATTGCTCCCATTTCCCACCATTCCATAAATCTTACTAATATTATAAATGCGAATGTTTGGATGTATGTTTGTTAGGAGATATCTCCAGAACGGCTTAACTTAATGTCCGTATTCTGATCACGACACAACTAAAAGGATCATAAACTTTTTGTAATAAAACACAATGTTCTTAACAATTTTTTTAATTAATAAATCACATTTTAAATTGATCCTGAATCGATCTTCTCACTTTTTGACAACTGGTGCGAACCTGAGGTTCGCTGTAACCGCCCGCGAACCTATAAAAAAAACTAAATTAAAAATCAATACAATTTTCAAACAATCAACAATATACAATTTATGTGGACCTCAGTTGGTGATGCATGTTAAGAAATCAATCATGTTTCTCAGTTATATGGTGTGTTATATCATCATTTACAAATCATGTATACAACTTTACCTTGAATATATTTTTATATACATTTTAAAACAAAATACGTAAAAAAAATTCTATCAAACAAATATATCAGCGGTATTTCCTATTATTTTAATAATCATACAAATAAACCATTGAATAACTCACCTAATTAAAATTTGTTGAAACCCAATCGGACCAGGTCAAATTTTCAGGTCTGTAAACAAAAAAATAAGAGTTATCTATTGACATTTTTAAAGTTAACAATATTAAACGAAATAAAAAAAAGCCTCAGTTGGTGATGCATGTTAAGAAATCAATCATGAATCTCAGTTATATGGTGTGTTATGTCATCATATTTAAACATTATCCATGAGAATGAAATCAGAAATGAGAAATCTTTAACACCTAATTTTATGCATTATTTTTTTGGATAAAAAAACATATTGCAATATTTTAACTTTCACGATTAAGTTAAATTTAATAAAAATAAACTAACCAGAGCCGTACTTCCATAAAAATACGTGTCTATTCTCCTTTGTATTCATAGACCCAGGGTATGTTTGCCTTCGGCTAATTTGTAGCTGAAAAAAATAAAAAGAAACGGTTATTTCTCAGCAAAGATATAAAATACTACAAATTTTAATTTTACGTACCTTTTTATATGCTCAAAATTACTCCTAGACCTAGGGTAAACAGAATTACGAGTTCCCATTAACCTTGACAGCAGCTTTTTTGTTTGACATAGCCTTTAGCATTTTTTTATGACAATGACGAGAATAAATAAATAGGAGTTATATACAATTATAGAGAAACAACAAAAATAATTTAATGTGTAAGATTTATTTTTTAAAAACGTGTACAAATACACTTCAGGTTGTGTTTGCGATGCTAAGATGCATCACCAACCTCAGAGATCGTACTCTCGATGTTACAAGGAATCACTTTATCACTAAATATTTATAAGTAGCGACGCTAAATTTAATTGTGAATGGATTACACATCGTAATTAACCATACAGTCTTATAGACAGTTAAAGTCACCCAACGCGGCGTTTATAACAAAAACTGGTTTAAAAAAAACATCGCCCGACCGTTAAAATGGATACAGAATAGCACCTTCGTATAGCAAAAATTAATTTACCGAAGAAAAAAATCGATTGAAGGCGGAATTTTACACAGGAATGTGTGAACTAAGTTTTATCAATTTGTCAAGGATAGAAAAATATATTTGTTTAAATGAATGGACGGCCGGCGCTCGAATGTAGCCAGCAAACAAACGAAGCATAGATTTTTGTGTGGGGACTGCGCTGGGCGCGGCGCCCTCGCGTACAGTTTGGACCTTGAGACGCGTGTAGGCGTGTGGGCGCGCGGGGGCCTACTGCTGCTTGCACTCTGCGGGCGCGTCCTGCGGCGCCCCCTTGCCCCCCTTCTTGCCCCGGCGGCGGGGCGCGGGCTCCTCGTCGTCGCTCTCTTCCGACGAGCATTCTTCCTCCTCCTGTTCAAATTCACAATTAAATTCACACAAAACGGCACCTCTCCGTAAACTTGTCTTCCCGATATTATTATACGTGAATTCTGCAACCATCTGCGTTCCTCGATACAACACATTAACTAATTCAGCATGCAAACAAGGTAAACGTATTTCAAAATAAAACACACTTGGATAAAAAGCATACAATTTTTTTTAATGTCGTCACTGGGGACATCATGCCAAAACATATAAGCCATAACCATGTAACACTACCTTAGCAGCCGCAACAGCTGACCATTATGCAGACTTCAATAGAAGAAAACATTCAACAAAAATATACAATACATTTAAAAGAAAAACACTTGGAACTAGTTTCACAAAATATTAAGATATATCTTCACCTACAATACACTTTCGTCTTTAGAATAGAGTTAATTCTTCATAGAATTCAAAGAATCTAGTCAAGTTTGGACATAACATGTGAAACTAGAGCAAGTGGCTTCATTTTGCACATATTGAGTTTTAACAAAATGAAAACAGTCACATATATGTCATATTTAGAAAAAATATACATATTCCTAGTCCAGTCGGCCGGATGTATCGTATAAATGTATTTTAGAATAAGACAAGATCACAGTTTTCAGTTATCGATCGATTAAAATATAAAAAAAAAATGCATTTTGGCACTAACAAGAGAGAGATTCGATGATATTCGTGTGACGTGAGCGCTTCACAATGTTGGAATGCCAGCTTCTCAGAATAGAAAATTAAATAGCCTTAGAGAACATTAATATCACATGAAATTTCTAGTACACAAACAACGTATGTAAAACTCGTAAACAAAATACACGCTATTACAATTATTTATGTATATAATAAATAGAAACGAGAATTGTATATAACTAATCTAGAAATGCAGTATAGTGTTGAACGTCTAACAATTAACATGCATTACATAAGGCACCATTTGATCTCGCTTCGAGAGCCGCGATGGCTTTCCATCTAAAACATATTTATCTATTAGACTGATAAATCATGCATAGAAGTATATAATTATATATAAATGCGAGAAATTCCTAACCTATCTAGCGCAACAATACTATCAATTTATTATATGACGCGTTAACACGAATTAGGAAAGACGTGGAAGTCGCCTCGCGCGCGCCTCCCATCCTCAGAGTATTATCACTTAACGTCCGAAAAAAATAGCATTTATTTTTGGTACATCGCAAAAATATTCAGGATATGAACATTGATATGACTTTAGCGGTATAAAAAAAGGACACAATAATTTTGTGTGCAATAAAATAGTTCTCATATAAAACTTAGGTCAAACGTGTCGCTATGTTTTGACCTAGGTAGTTCTACTTTTGACCTAGGTTATTTAGATGGAGGGGCAATAGGCGTGTAGTATCGCTAGAGACGGTCGCATCAATCCTCGGCGTCGGAAACCTCCTCAGTGCCGGAATCTTCGTCGGAATAAGAATCCTCCTGAAACCAAATATACCGCTTTTGTTGGTGCAGCCAATGGGGATCCAACCAGACCTGGATATTATTCACATGTACTATCTTCTATGTTATAACGCAACACGATATTACAACCAAAACAAAAAGAAGAACAATACACAAAACACATACATTTTCTAGAAATTCTTTAAAATACGCCTATAAAATCTTGACAGCTCTTAATAACATACAATTTGCTGCGCACAACACAAATTTGGGCGTAGCGGCGTAAAGGCAATGCGCACGCGCAGCTTCAAAACTATTGAAACTTATACTAAATTACTTATACTGTTCTTCTTTTTAAATTTTTCATTATGAATTAAAAGTAGAACATTCACCATCGTCTGATTGGATGATGGGGGACATAATAAAGCTGCAGATATCTACCATGCAGTAAAGCCGACGGACTCAAGTACGAGATGGCTGTAGAATTCACTAACATTAAGCAATACATGCGCGGTATTAAACACTAGTTAAAACGTTACCAAATACTTTTTAATGTTAAATACGATAAATAACTTTATATAGTACAGAGATGTCCAAATAAATACCGAAAAAATTCAAAAAAATATTTTAATGTTAGCGGGCCGTAGTTTGGACACCCCTGTTGTTTAATATACTTCCGACTGAGCTTGTATTGTAACACACCAAATTAATTAACCAAACAAAAGTATGTTAAAATATTTTTAAAAGTGGTCATGTGAAAACTTTTTTTTCCCCGTTTTTTGAAAATTACTCTAAAATTAATCTACAAGGACAGGACAATTTTCTGATAGATATGACTGATGCTGTCCATTAAACCAAAAACTATAATAAATAAACTCAGCGACCAAGTTTTTTGAGTAATATCAACCTCCTCCTATTGTCAGAGTGTACAAAACAAGCTCAGTGCAGGATGATTTCCTACCTCCTCCTCATAGTCGTCATCATCGTCGTCCAACCCCTCTCCGGTGTAGATGAGCACGGCGCGAGACACCACGCGCTCGCGGATGTAGTGCCCGATCTCAAAGTCAGCGGTTAACAGATTCTGAAAATGTAATGTCAAGCATGTAATTTATTTAAAGAACTGACAATCTTTGCACCTTCCAAAGGATATCAAAGATTTAACTCATAAAAACCTTTACGACGTAGTTAGGCCCCAATTAATTGGTTAACTAATATTGATATTAAAAATGTAGCAGCTGTTAAATCAAATTATAAAACCAGTTAAAATTGAACAAGCAGGAAACTACCATAAGTGAGGAATTTTCCTGTCTGATGGAAGAAATTTATAAATGAGAAACTCTCACAAGGAAATCTTTATAAGCAAGAAACATTTCACTGTCCCTGATTGTATTTGATTTAATTTATGTGATAATAATTTTAGTATATATTGTGTAAATGTGTTCATACCTGTATATCAGAGTCAGGGTCCTCGGGCACTGCAGGCGGGGAGAAGAAGTTGAAGAAGGAGTCAGCCTGCACCGACTTGGTGACGATGCGCACCGAGCCGCGCGACTTGTGCTTCTGCTTCTTCTTTATTGTCTTCACCGTCACATTCTTGCCCTTCTTCCAGTTTATCTCGCAACCCTATAACAATTATATCATTTATCATTTTGTCAAAAAATATTATTAATGTGAATGTTTGGATGTATGGATAGATGTTTGTTAGTATAGCATGTCTGGATCTTGAAATTTGGTAATGATGTAGAACATAGTCTACTTACAAAGTTTTTTTTTTTATATCCCACAGACAGACTCGCAAGCGACAGCTAGTAAGCAATGTCAAAGGCAAGTAAAACTTTTCAGTAATATGAGTTGTATTTATTCTCACTCTTTGTTAATTATTAGTTTCAATGTGAAATGTAAATAAAGTTTCAGTCCAGCCTTTGTTTGGATCAATTCAAAATGTTCACACAACTTGTTATTTAAATTCATATATTGAAGCATATTGAATATAATTTACCCATGATCATCTTAAATATTTGTTTATATTTCATAAGAATAAAAAATAAAATAAACATTACTACTTTAATAAACCCAAATAATTGTTATTGGATCTTGTACAGTTACTTAGAAAACCATATTTTACATGAGAAAACTTGTTACACTTACAAGAACTCTATAGTGCCTATGAACAAACTATTTAGGGGGCACATATTACCTTGCAAGAGTAAATCTCTGGTCCCTCAAACTCCAAGGGGTTGTCATCGTCAGGTTTGCACTTCATGGAGTACTCCTTGGTGAGGATTGTGTTGGTGAAGTAGTCATTGGGTGCAAAGTGGAACTCCAGAGTGAAGCCAAACGGATCCTCGTGCATTTGCACTGTACAAAAACAAATGTATGTTGAAAAATATGTTCACTATTTCAAATGATGATTATTGACTTTTTACTAATATTATAAATACGAATATTTGGCTTGATGGATAGTATGTTTGTTAGAAGGTATCTCCACAGCTGCATGGATCTTGCTGTAATTTGGTATAGTTGTATAACATAGCCCAGAACACATAGGTTACTAAATAAG